AACGTTTAGAAAAAATAATTATATTAGTAACTTATTAATGACAAAATCATCAAAGAAAAGGTATCAAATGAGTTAGCTTTTAAATGTTCTTAGGAATTCTTCATTAAAATTGATCAAGTATGTATAATTTCAGGTATTTTTCGGCTTCCCCAGAACTTTGGTGATCGATTACAGATACCTCCTAACACCTTATAGATTATATGATGAAATCATCAGGCATTTCAAATATATTTAAGATATTTAAGAATCCGATTCATGAAGCTAAAATCCTCGATTGACTCCAAATAGAGTACAGAATACTCAATGTTTATCTTCTCAATTACTTAAACCTGTTACGCCTAATGGAGCATAGGCCACTGAAAAGCATTCTTCAACCAACTCTTTCTTGGGCCTTCCTTTCTAGTTCTTTCCAATTACTGTTCATTTTTCTCATGTTAGTTTCCGATTCTTGGCGAGGCACGTTCTTTAGTATATCTTTTTTCCTTTGACCTTTCTTTGGCATCTTGATGAGATTTCCTTCTTCCTGGTTTGCTAGTACTCGTTCTTTCTCCCAAATCTTGCTGAAGAGAGCATTATCTTTACAGTTACTGCTGTTCTCTTCCGATGCCGCAGTTTATATGTTTCCTGGTCCTCTTGCTTTGCTACTCCTGATTTGTCTGATATTCCTGCTGGCTTATTTGATTGGTGGTGGATCAACATCAATCGGGAAGTCCGTAGGTGCTGCTTCGATGTTAAGTGGTTTCAGTGAGGCTTGTCGATTCAAGTGTTCTTCAAAGTGATCTACCTACCTGTTTCGCTATCCTTGAATGTCGGTGATCGGTTCACCTTCCTCGTTCTTTACTGGCCGACCTAATTTACTATACCTTCTAGAGAGCTTCTTTGTTATATTGTATGGGTAACCCATGTTTCCTTCTCCTAATCCTTTGTGCTAAGAGCCATCTTGAATTCGTTGAGTGTGCCAGTATCACTAAGAAATGCCGCGTTAAACTTTTGTGATGCTATTTTCCAGTACCTCTTCGATTTTGGTTTCATCTTGTCCACTACTAAGTGATGATCCGAAGATATGTCAGCTCCTCTCTTTGTTCTTACGTCCTCCATGGTACTTCAGATTTTTTATTGATGAAGAAGTAGTCGATTCGGTTTTGTGTAGTGTGATTCAGTGAAACCCATGTGCTTGTGTGGGAATATGGTTTCACCTGTGACAATTTCGCTCCTTTCGTTCCTTTCTCCCAGTCGATATCGTTCCATGATGTCTTTACATTCAGTGTTGTCCATTCCAACCTTGGTTTTTAGGTCTCCCATCAAAATAGTCAAATCCTTTGCTGGGTATTTCTCGATGATCGACTGCAGCCTCTCTCAGAATTGATATTTAATGTCTTCATTGTGATCGTCGGTGAGTATAGCACTGAATGATTCTCATTGTAATCCCCCTTTTTTTTCTGAAGAAGCCTTTGATGGTCCTGAGTTCCTGAAACTCCTCTTTTTTGTAATCTTTATTAATAAACACTTATTCTGATGTTCTGTTTTTAATCAATACAGGTGGCGACAATTTTCCCTTGTTTCAAATACTGTTACACTTCATCCATCACTTTGATACGTGAAACATTAAATGAAGAAGAAATCAAGGTTAAAAGTCAAAGTTTTGGGTGGTCCATATTTTTTAACTTTTTTTGTTGGTAACATATATTCGGATTAATCTTGAGTAACAAATAATATGGGAAAAAGCACGACTTTGATTAGGAACTGTAATTATACCGTCTGTTATGATTGCATATCAACACGTCAATTGATACACTTGAACTTTTACGAGTTTACCTTAGTCGGAACACGAGAGCGGGGATCCAGCGACACGACAAGCTACTTCAATCCGATCGTCCCAAGCCCCCATTGAGTAAAAGAATAAGACTTGATATGAAGTAGAACATGTATTCTACGAGCATCAAGAAAGTACGAGGTCCGAGTCAAGAAAAGAATCAGGACCGTGGACTAGGGATCCGGGTCATGAAACTTTACAAATAATACATATTTATACAGTTAGGTCGAGTAGAAAACAACATCGAAGTATGTGACATCGATAGTTAGGACGACCAACAGGAATTAACCCATAGGAATTGGCCAATAATTCTCTTAGTATATCGGATAAATATCCTAACACTGTCATGATTTACCGCTGTTTCCTTTAAAAAATTAATTATGTATGTAACATTAGCATCATTCCTGATACATTTCCAGCTGTTTCTATAAGTGTTTAGGTGTTCAGTTTTAAATTTTACTTTTCTATACGTCCTGGATTCCATTGCTAACCAATATTTCTGTCTACCATGTTTATGAATTAACAACGATATCGAGGCGATCAGCATACGCTGCCAATATGCCGAAAAAGATTGATCGTTTGCAGTCCTTTACATCAATGGAAGATTCAAACCACTGATTCCTATGGCTTCTGCTTTATGTAGGAGACAGGATTGAACTCCGTTTGGAAATGATTGAGGTATAAGATAGATCACTCGCAATGATTCAGATTTATCTACAATATGAGCGCTATCAACCAGATGTGCCGAGATAGAATTTTCATAAACCATGATGGGAGATGCTCACTTATTCGTTGATTATGTTGCCTGGCAGTACGCCCGTTATAGCAACACTTTCGCGTCCTGCATTTGTTTGTAAATGTCTGCCTCTTCCCGTTTATATTCTTCACTATCTAATTATGTGCACACTTCTTATGACGCAATGGTTTTAATGTTTTGTAATGGTTATTTTAAGTCTATTTATGCACGTTTGACTTAATATCTCCAATTCTGAACCATTCTTATCGTATTTCGTTTTCCTTACTACTGTTAATACACCTGTCTTCCTACTATCAACTTGTACTTCTATCTATCATGTGTAGTGACATATTCTATTTCAGTGATAACTAACTCAAATTGCCTTGATTGGTTTAACATTTTCATATATATATATTCATTTGTATTAGTGTAAAGCCTGATGATGATCTACTTGGAAACAATTTTGTTCGCTTACATATCGATATAGATCAGGTGCATAAAGCGGTTCTGTATGTTATGTTTTTTATTTCCGTCGTAATAGCAATTTTCCAGTCTTTAGTATATCCTATGCTTCTTGTTTTATTCTGCAGGTACTCGTTATGAGCAAGCGAAATTCTAATCCAATGATTTCTTCTTCTGTAAAGATGCCGATCAGTGAGCCATCGATGGTATAATTTAGTGACGTCAAATCTTGTGTTTGTGTACAGAAATTAAACTCTTGTTAATAAATTTTTATATTTAGTAGCAGCGTTCTTACGCCCAATATACAGAGTGAAAAATTACGAGTTACTTGTTCACATAATGTCTCAAATATGTTGCTCATTTCACTAACTTTTAGTTTAAATATATATTTATATATAATTATTAGGCGATGATCGGCATCTAAAGAATGATTATCAAGTACTCTAAGAAAACAACAACCGTAGTCCTCCGTTGCCGCAGATCCAGGACTTCATGCATACGTTGAGAGACACAACTGTTATTTTCAAAAAGTGACTATAGTGGAGCGCATGACACGGTTCCGAAGGCAGCGAAAGACATTCTCTCCGAACGTAGCTGCTACCTTGACGTTGTGATCAGGCTTTCCTATCGTGATGACCCAACCGATATACGTTGGCTGGAACATATATTCCGGTAGGTCCTACCATGCCGGGCAGGTCTGTTGGAACACAATGAGACTAAAATCAGCTATAAGAGCTCTGCTGACTGTAGAGTGGTGTTAAAGCAGTAAGGTGTTTCCCTTGGGCAACCAGCGTCTACAGCGATTCTGCCTTTGAGGTCCAGACATTGTGTCGAATAGAACAACGAGATTCCCAAGCAAGGAATTTCGCACCATTGATGTACGCTGCGTCTCCGAAAGGCGCATACAGTGTAAAAGCGGCGTCGAAAAAAGAAACTAGCTTGATTTACTCTTCGTGTATCTAGAAGCCCTGTTGTAGCCTCCTAGCTCTCATAGACTGAATTCCGGTAGACAGTCGCTTATGCGCTGTCCGATTGAAAGGGATGGTACGAACTCCTTGAGGGAAGGAAATCCGCCGTTGCCCTTTCGTCGTATCCGCCTGCTCTCCCACTGACTGCAGTTCAGACGAGGTGAAATATGAGGTTTGCAGTAAGCCTCTGCACCTCCTCTAAAAGGCTGAGCACTCTGATATAGTAATAATGGCTAGTGACTTTACTGCTCAAGTAAATAGACTTAATAAAAAGGAAAGACACAGTTAAGCTCAGATAACCGCCTATTTCTAGCAAACACTAACTTTAAGCATAAGGAAAAATATCTTTTGACCTGGCGACCCCCAAAGTCGTCTCAACGTTGGATCAAACTAAATCACATCTGCCATCGATGGAGAGGTTCCATAGAGGACTGTCGCTCGTTCTGAGGCACATGTTTAGTTTCAGATCATGCCCTAGTGCGAGCGCGTATTTGTTTTAAGCTTACTGGACGTAGTAAAGACACCGCAAGAAAACCTACTGGGGTTCTGCCTAAGGTTAAAGCAAACAATATATTTCAGAAACAACTACAAAAACAGTTAGGCGGCCGTGTAAGTGACTCCTATCCGGGGGCAGCCTATAATGATATTCAAAAAGCTGTGGAAACAGCAATGATATATGCTAGTAAGGTAAACCATAAGGCTAGGAAAAAGCCATGGATCACAACGGCATCCACTAAAAGGATAGATGCTCTAAAACTCATCCCACCTGGCTCTAAACTACCAAGGTGTCAAAAATATTGGCCTCAATAATCCAACACCAAACCAGTGCTCGTGAAGAGCAGATTCGAGATGACCAGGATGCTTTTTGACCTAGAAATGGATGTAAAGACCAGATATTCACACTACGAAGGTTCAAAAACAAAGATACACGTTCAGACGAACCGGTTGTGGCTTGCTAGATGACGCTAGTAGACGATAATTAGAGACCTGAAACGACATGGCTCAGGCGCATCCACTCTTTGTGTTGTCTGAAATTCTAACCTGAATTCCTTATCAACTCTATCATTATGTTTCTTGAGTTATATCCCTGAAATATACTTCTCGAATCATATCTCCGAACCCTAATCTCCATTACTGCTAATACTTTTACTATCTCTACCACTATGGGATTCGAATTAAAAGTTGCACCCCTGTGCTAATGCGGGAAGCCTTCAGAAAACCTTGGAGGAAGTGCGACCGAAATTCTCTTTGGTCTGTCATTTTTCCGTAACAACCCTATAGACTTAACGTATAGTTTGGAAAGGTTTATTATAAGCCAAAATCCTTTTTTCAGTCTCAACTAACTTTGAGTGAAACCCATTATACCGCGATGAGCGAAATCCCTAATCGCTCAGGCGTTTTGAGCAAATCATGTTTATTGATTCTGATAAAAGCAAACAGAAAAATTGATGCTTAATAACATAAAATCAACTTATATAGTAGATTCTCGTAATCTCACAACATAAAATATCTTCAAATCAAAATTATCATGCAGGTTGACATGCTTATAAATACGGAGATGATTACCAGTGCTGGGAGGTTTTCAATAAGATTAAAAAGTTTTTAAAATTATGTTGCAGATCCGCAAGGTGCGTTAGGAAATGTTCCGGAGTATCGAATTACCAACTTTTGATGGTTGAGTAATAAATTAACCGAGGTCAAAATATTACATAATAGTATCAGTAGCATTCGGTCTAGTAAAACAGAAATTGGGGATCCAAGGTCATTGAGATTGCTTTCATCACTGGATGAGGAAGACTTGAAGTAAATGATTACACAATAGAATGGATATGATGCTACCATGGTAAGGGAAGATTTATCACTTTCTTTTTTGAGCATCTGATTTCGGTTTCGAACGATTGATGACTACATGTTCACTAAATTTTCGAACATGAGGACTAGCTTGCTTATTAGTCACCATGAAAGACAAGTATGTTCACTTGATCTCCTATATGGAGATGATGCCTGAAGATCCCATTTTTGAATGCTTCTAGTCCACATAAACTTAGACCTTTTGAAATGCGTCTGTTGTTTCGGAATTACGCCCATCTTTCTGTTCTACCAATGTAACTGATTTGTCACAGGAATCTGAACACGTATACATAGTTGGCGAGAACAAGTAAGGCGTACTAATCGACACTCAAAAAAGACTTATGAATAATGGCAAGTCAGAACCTCAGGATAAATGAGCACCCAAATACAACAGACTCTAAAGGTTTTGGGTGTTATGGTCACTTTGCCGAACATTCAAAGACTTCGACGAAGATATGTCTCCAGTTTTATATCTCATCCATGTGAAAACTCACGGTCGAGCGTGTTCAGTGTATGGGAACTAAGTTAGTGACGAGTATTTCCAAACATTCCTACGATGAGCATTTAAAACGCCCAAACCCTCTCGCCTTATTGTATAATGCAAGGTGAACTCATACACGTATTCAGTATCTCCAATAGCGATTTAAGTGTTACCATGTCTTATTTTTTTTGCTCCCTCCAGAACTAATCATCTCCGAGGCCATACAAAGCAGGTTCGAAAAACTTCACTCGAATAAAATTAAAAAAGGGATTCTGTATTTCTCATCGACTAATCATTTAAAAACTCAGCTTGCAGCCCATTTGGGGCTACTCCTGACAACAATACCAAACAAAGAAGGAGGGTTCGGCATGGGGTTGTTGATCCTGTAGTGTGTCTATTTACTGGGTGTTCTTAAGCTCGGTAATTAACTCGTCCAGACAATCGTTACTAACTAGCGTCTGACGGTGAAGTCGTAGTGTTGAATACCTTTATTCGGGACACACCACAAAGCGAAGCGGAGAGGCAGTGAATAAAACGAATGAAGTGACGTGAATTGGAGAAGGCTATTGAGCCAACTCCAAAAGATAGAGCATGACTATGAATACATAGTCAGACAAAAAATTAGACAGGCATGTGACAAGCAAAATAGACATGCACACATGAATAAAAGCGACGAATGATTGACAAGATCAAAAGCAAGCGAGGCAAGTCATGCGAGTTCATGGGGATATTAAGAGATTGTAGAATTCTTTTTGAATGTTTTGTGTTTTTGGAAAATCCCTCCATGTTTACATATTTTTGCTATGACATGATGGACTTTTTCTCTTGACATTTTTGGTACTTTATTTGATTCCAATTTGAGATTTTATCATTGTATGTTGTTATTCTTTCTATATTTTGTACTTATATTGAAGTTTTTGTGTTTGCTTCTGAACTGTACATATATTGTTTAAATTTGATATAATATGGCTACCGCCACATTTTTGGATGGACGCGGTGGCTGCTGGACTTAGTGTCACTTACTAGTTATTGTGTTGGATACTCTGCGGAGTAATTTAACCCTGGAAGGAACACAAATTCCGTAAGACTTTGTATTTCCATTTTATAATAATATAGAGACGTTTTCTCCTAGAATTTTGCCCTTTTGATTTGGTCGGGACCCGGACCTAGGAGGAACGTACAGGAGTGTTTCTATTGGAAACAATTAGGACAGCCACTGTCGAAATAAATCTACAGAGATTAACAGTGAAGCGAAAAGGATGAGTAAGCGTATGTGCGTAAGCAATTTTCAGTTGTACCAGCTCATAGAAACCAGACAATAATAAAAACGAATGGTACGGGTAACTAGTTACCTTGCAAATGACTTGGTTAAATAAATTAATCGAAAGGCTTAATCAAATTAAGTATGAGCGAACTCAAGTTTATGTGGAGTAACTACAATCCCATCCAGTAGAAATCTAACTTCGGAAGTCACTAGGCCGATGCCCGTTCTCACAACCACAGCAACTAGTCTCATAGGTCCATGTAGTGTTCGAACATTGTGGGAGACAGGAAGACTTTTCAGATTGCTGCAGAGGTGAAAAGAAACATGGAGTTGAATGTAATCAGTGAAACTCATTGGAGACAGGTTAGATAACTAAGACTAGCTTCAGGAGAGCTGCTGTTATACTCTGGCCATGCAAAGAAAAATGCCTCACACACACAAGGAGTTGCACTGATGCTGTCTGAAAAAGAACAAAAAAGACATAGGATGTGAATCTCATTGACCCATAATCAATAAAGCATCCTTTAAAACAAAGAAAGCAGTCATTCCAACCGATGTCATCCAATACTTTTCATCTACCTACGACTGCAATGTAGACGTAAAGATCAATTGTACGAGAGGCTCCAGTCAATCGACGGGAGATATTAA